AAATAAAATGTTGAGTGGTTTCGTTTTCAACAATGAATCATATTTTATAAGATCACAACATGATTTGTCAAATTAGTAACTATAACAGAATGCAGTGAATCAACATGTCTCTCTGAAATGTGGTGGAATACCCTAACCTTAGCCATCACAACTAAATGCCTAACTCTAAACCTAATTCTAACCCTAACCCTAAAACCATGTGTTAACCCCCCCAATAGTCCATTAAACCTGGAGTAGAAAGTGAGGCCTGTAGGTGTGGTGAGTAGTTTCCTCAGACAAATGCTCAATGATGTGAATGCTGCGATTGAAAGAGGCATGTATATTATTGAGTAATTTAATTAAAATATACTGGTGTGCTCTCACTCACCACACCTACAGTCCCTACCACTGCTGCCCAGTCCAATAACACTACGGCCTACGTCATTATGGATGGCGTGCAATTTCAACTTGATATTTAACTTGAGGGACATGATATACTCACTGTTTTTTCTTTGACTTATTGCCCCTGTGTAAAAACAAAGTTTCCTTATAGCAATGCAATCCTACCATATGGGGTTAGGGCTGAGGTTGGGTTAGGCACAAACACACACCACCTCTGCCTTCAAAATGCTCTCTCGCTCTTTCCCGCTCTCTTTCTACCCAGTTTTCCATATTAAGCGACTCTTGCCTCAAGAGTTCTCACAAGCATGATCACCATAATCAGACCTGACGCCTGTTTAGCATGAGCCTCCCCTCTCCCATATTACCGGCAGCTGGATGTGCAGCTTGCCAGCAGCTGTAGAGAATATTTGTCTTCAGCCTCAATGCCCCCCTTGGCCTCAGGAGGGCGCAATGAGATCATTCAGCTATACCCACACTCATCCTGGGAGATGTGTGTGAGCGCCTCTTTATATGCAGTCAATGGTGAGCACGTTCCTGAAGTGCGAACAGATAATAGTGTGAGCATGTTCGTCTCATGCAAGTGTCTGCATTCACAGTCTGAACCAAACAAGGAGGCGTTTGATTAAAATTCATCACAAATGTGAGGCAGCAAAATGTGTACAACAAAGCACTGACAGAATACATAAAGACTCACAACTCACATGTCAGCATAAAGAATGTGACACCACCAACCACAGATCAATGTACCAGGGTTATATATTACTGGTAAGCATGAGATACAGCTGCTGCTCATAGTAAAGCTTGTGATGTAATCTGGATGCTGATATTTCCATCATGGTGACCATGTATTATACACTCAGTTAATGTAGCCCTGTCATAATACAAATATCTAAGATTTATTTATCACCTGAATTTTCATGATTTTTGTGTGATCCTTTCTTTTAAATGTCTCTCACTCTCTGGTAAGTATTTTGGCAGATGATTTTTACCATGACTGTAATCCAAATCAAATTGAAACAACAGCAAGCGTTTGCAGAATGGGTTGAGTTACAGTTACATCATAGCATTGTCACAGCTGATACATCCAGACACACAAGCAAAGAGAGATATGAAAAGGTTTACCACTGTCTATTGTCCTAACTTTCCTCCAGTTCTCGTCTGTTGAACCCTGGTGAGTGCTCACAAGGGTGTTAATGCCAAATACAAGGTGAGGCTTTGTGAGGCTGATCTGGGTGAATAGGTTCAGCTCAGTTCAAAGCCAAACACTGTAAATAAACCAATAACTCCAATTCCCACTTGCTTCGGGCCTCAGGTGGAGGCTGAATAAAGCTTATATGTGGCTGTCAACGTGCACAGCTGGAACATCTGCAGGGAAATCCTTACTGGAGTATTTGTAAGTGATAGGTCACAAACAACACACAGAGAGGTGCTACACGCACACACACGCTTAACATATTCAAGTAAGCAGCTGAATCCCATGCAGCTCATAAAAACTGTGCATGCAGACTGTAGCACATGTGTATCTCAACAAACAAATGGTAGAAGAAAAGTGATCAGAATAAATGCTCCCTCCTAATTATTACAAACAGTCTCAGATAAACAATTCTCTATTCCTCCCTCCGTCCCTCTCTCTCTCCCACAGCTGCCTCCTCTCCCTGTGATTTTCGGTTGGGGTTTAGCCCCTCTCACTTCTGGCTGGGGCCTTTGAACAGGAGCGAGCGTGGCATTGTGGAAGGAGGGTGGGTGCTAAGCCCCGCGCCCCTGTGTGTTTATCTGCCTCTCCCAGCTGGGCTCCTCGGGGAACAAGAGATACAGAGGGAGAGAGGGAGGGAAAGCAAAAAGAGTGAGGGGGACTGATACAGGGAGAAATGCCTGAGTGCAGGAATGAAAACAGTCTGCAGCGCAAAGAAAGCTCTGAAACATCTCCCTGTTTGCCCTCTTCTCCCTGCAAACACTGAGGAGCCTGGTACTCATGTGAAGATCAAAGTTTGCATCCAAATCAAAGTAAGGTGTATTTGCACTTCAGCCAAAGATGTAACAGTACATCTTGTACTACAGATGTGTAATGGATGTGGATAAGGTTGCAAAGATTCTGTCTGAGGATGTAGCATAGGTGAAGTTGAAGGCTCAAAGGGATGAAGACTGTGGATAAGTGGAGGCTCAGGAGCAACCATCAGATGGCGTTTTAAAACTAAAACAATCTGGTATCTATATCAGTGTTTTAACTCTGCATCAGTAATAATTCCCATTCAGACTAACAAATCTGAAACTGTACATCATGTGACCATTCACGTACACTGGGCATGTGAGAGCCAGTGTAAACAGGAAGCAGATTGTAAATGGTAAATGGTCGCTATCTATATAGAGCTTTTTCGAGTCTTGATGTCTCAAAGCTCTTTACAGTACACTTTTTGCTGTTCACCAATTCACACAGAATCATACACTGCATCTATGTGCAGCACTTTCTCTATCCCCTGACCCGCAGCCCCTAGAATGTCTCTTTGGTTTCTTGATTACAGAAAACACAACAAAGCAAGAGCAGAGATGTCAATCAAACTGCACCAAATATGACAAACTCATAGACATCAGTTCCCTAAACATGCCTGACTTCAGGAGAGCAATGTTGAAAAACATCCTATCTCGCAATGTTACCTGTGACTCACAATGTAACTCTGAAAAATCACTCCTGGGTCTGATGAATGAGGAATATAAGTCTGTAAAATATTCAAACTAACAAGAAAAACCAGAGGAGCTGTTTAAACAAGAGGACGTGATAGCGTGAAAGCGACAGAGGTAGAGCAGCGAGTGAGGAGGCAAGCCAACTTGCAGATGAGCTAAAAGGTGCATTCACTGATGAGCTGCACTTGACATTTCTGTCAAGAAGATGCAGACACACACACACACACACACACACACACACACAGCGCACACACACACCGTCCACCTGCTCTATTCAAGTCAATAGCAGTCGTTGCAGTGTCAAGTGGCTGCCTCAGGAGGAGAAAAATGCCTCAGATGATCAGCCCCTCTGAATGAGAGAGAGGGAAAATCTAGGACAAAATAAGAGCCGGATGAAACAGTGAGACAGATTGAGAAGGGAGGCATATCTCTTTCAAAGTGCTTATCCTGCAAACCGTAATATCAAACTACTCTAAACACTTGAAATGGGAAAAGTTGAGACCATGTGAAAATAATAATAATATCAAAATACATTTAATCTATGAGGCTCAAGAAATTACAATATGGCAATTGCTAGCTTTATCTTATAGTGAGATATAAAAAAGTATGTCCATTTTTTTGGTTGCAGTGACAAGTGTCAAAATTTGAATTAATATTCTGA